GTTTAAGGTTAGTTTGTGCTTCAGGAAAAGGAGGCATGAAAATACAGGCTCCCTGGCCCCTGGTGCACCCACCATTCAGCCCAGCTCTTCCACCTGCCCACACGGGGGCTGCCCCTCAGTTCCTGGGGGTAGGGGTCAGCCGGGCACACACAGGACAGCAGAGTACAGCACACCTTGACAGTCACACCAGAGCAGGGAATAGGACCCAAGGAGAACTGAGTTTCAGAAAAAGTTCTGAGTGGTGTTTCCAGCTTCATGAGCCAGGCTGGATCTCTGAAAATGAGAACTGAAGGGAGACCAGTTAGGAAAACAAAAAAGGTGGTGGGCTGGTCAGAGTAGTGAACCACAGCATCATTCGGACTCCGCCATGCATGGGCAAGCGTGGGCCGTCGTGTGTCCTTTTTCTCACTAGCGGTAAGCCCCTAAGTAGGCAGGATGATCTGGATCCCTTTTGTAGCCCCTGGAGAGCCTAGCGCCGTGTTACACGAGTAGCACCACATAGATGCTCACGGAGAAGCCCCAGAGGGAAGAGTTGTTTGCTGAAGGAGGATGTGAGATGCAAAGTGCAGCATGGCTGATTACAATGCAGCACCAGCCCCATCGTGGCGATAAGGGGAACAGTCCTCCACTTGGGCTCCCTCCTGGACCTCTGCAGATGTCTGCAGGACCTCTGCAGACCTCTGGTCCTCAGATGTGAGCCTGTTGGGTCAGGGCTCCCCTCACTTGCTTACCTCTGTCTAGCTCAGTGACTGGAACATGCTATTGAAGGACTGAATCAATCTCTGAGTAGACCAGTGATAAGTCCTTGAATCTCAAACATTTTCAGGTTCTCACTCTAAAATCTTTGTTAAAAATCCAAGCTCTAGCCAGTGACCAATTCGTTTTAGCCACTATCCCAATTCTGTGAAATTCCAGCACCAAAAGAATTGTTTAGACTCTTTCTTCAGACCCACTGTAATGACATTTGCCCCTCAAACTCCATAAGGGGGTATTCTCATTTCTTCTGCCTATGAGTAGAAGCTATCAAGTACAGAAGAGAGAATTATCAGTGTAGTCTCTTCTCTCTTTCAGTGAAGGTTTCTCATCTGAAGGCTGTGCCCACGTGAGTCTGGCAGGAAGGCTATGGCAGCTTCACACTGCCCATCCTGCTGTAGGGGGATGGGAGCCATGACTGCACCCCTCCCCAATCCCCCTCTCATGCTCTCCCTGCAAGCCCTCTTGATTTCCCACAACTGATCAGCTTTGCAGCCTGCCTTTTAATGGCTCCATAAGTAGGAAAGACCTTTTTTAAAAAGCATCACTGTTCCAGAGCTTCCCATGTCACAGTTATGCCTCATGTCTGGCTTCTGCCCTCTGTTAGTCAAAGGGCAGAGCTAGAAAGGAACGTGGGCTTACTCATTCTCTTCCTTGAATAGAAGGATTAAAGACTATTCCCTTCTCAGTAACTTGCAAGCCCTGTCACTTCTTAGAGGAGGTTAGGGTAGAAGGAAGAGGCTGGAGAAGGGAAAGGAAGACAGGAGGAATGTGGTAGATCACTCAGGCATGGTAGCTAATATTGGGCTCTGAAACCAAACTGCCTAGTTTCCTTGTGTGTGTTTGTAATGAGGTGAAAATTAACCATTTTTGAAGTGGGCAGGTCATTGGCATTTAGGACATTCTCAATGTTAGGCAACCACATTACCTATCTAGTTCCAAAGCATTTTCTTCACCCCAAAAGAAAACCTCATGGCCACTGTTAACCTTCAAACTACCCATTATCTTACCAGCAAAAGATATGCTTATTTAGGAATAACATTCCAGAACAAGCCAGCTATAGCACAATCATAGGCAAATCCAACAAACACAAGAGAAGAAGATTATTTTATAGAGAAGAAGGAGGAAGTTGAGAGGGGTCATTTTGGACAAAAGTCCATTGGAGAGAAGCAGGAGTTCAGGGTGATGACAGTTTCTCACTGGCTGAGTTGCAGGGGTGGTCGATCTCCTGTAGGAGATACAGTCTACGTCCTTCCCTGTTGGGACCTGTAATTGATGATTGCTTCCTGTTGAGAGTCTTCTATTGGGGTCTGTGATTGACACTTCTGTTGGAGTCTGTAGTTGACACTTCTTGTAATTTACATTGAGTGGAAGGGCTCTCCCTTGTAGGCTCCTCTTCTAGCATCCCAGTCCCCTTTATTAATTTTCACACCATTAAACAGTTTTTTCTACCCATACCTCCTTCCCCCACCCTCTGTCAATCGCCAGTCTGCTTTCAATCATATGGATTTCCCTATTCTGGATATTTCATGTGAGTGAAATCATGCAGTATGTGATCTGTTGTGTCTGGCCCCTTCACTTAGCATATTTCGGGGGTTCATCCACATTGTAGCTTGTATCATTACTTACTTCATTCCTTCAATGACTAAATAATATTCCATTGTACAGGTCCACTGTATGCCTATACTATATTTTATCTATTAATCCATCGATGGCCATATCCACTGTTTGGCTGTTGTGAATAGAGCTGCTATGAGAATTCTCATACAGGTCTTTGTTTGAACACCTGCTTTCAGTTCTTTGGGGTGTATATACCTAGGAGTGGAATGGCTGGGTCATATGGTAATTCCATGTTTAACTCTGAGGACCCACCAAGCTGTTTTCCACAGCAGCTGCACTATTTGCATTCCCACCAGATTGCCTGGTTTCAAATCCAGCCCTGCCACTTAGGAGCTGTGTGAACTTGGGCAAGTTATTTTGCTCTCTGTGCCTCAGTTTCCTTATTTTTATAACCAGGACAAGAATGCAGTGAACTCAGTGAGGTTTTGATGCCTACATGAGTTAATGTCTACAAAGGGCTTACAATGGTTCCCAGTATGTAAGAAGTGCTACATCAATGTTTGCTGCTGCTCTTGTTGAGTGACAGTGAGGGTTATGGCAGATAAAAGGCTGAGAAGCTTTTTGACCACAAAAAGGCCACATTGAGTGGTATAAAAGAATCAAAAGAGCTCTAATTCAGATACTTGGAGTTGATCACTGAGGGCATCCCTCCTCTTGAGAAATCTATCTTCTTAACCTGGTCAGTGATGAGCCGTGAGACCCTTCAGCTCTGTGACCCCGTGGTTCTCAGGGACAGCCCAGTCCTCAAGGATAAGGAGACTTGTGACCAATTGCCAGCCCCACTGCTTTCAGTCCTCCAACAGGCAAAATGAGAACAGGAGTGTGTCCTACCAACTAAAAGCTTCAAAAAGAAGTTTCTAGAAAACAAAAGTAAGTCGTCTTTCTCTCACCAGTGATGTTAGGAAAAGGCAAAGCTGGTTGATTTTCAGTTGAAGCTACTGAATTATCACCAAATATTCTGCCAAATTTTATTTCTCTCAATTTATAAAATTAATCCATATGTTTATGATTCATTTACACCTCACTCATCAAAATGTTTTATAAAAACTGTTTGAATCCCAGGAATCCTTTTGGGGCCTTCTGGGAAGCACATAGAGACAAGATGACAAATTTTTCCCATTCATCCTTGCTTGGGCATCCCAGCGTGTAGAATGACTGTACTATAAGCTCACTCTTCAGCTAGGTATGAGATGCCTGAGTGAACCAATGAAAGCACATACAAACAGTTGCCACAAGGATACTTCACCTCACACTGATATAGCTCTTCATACTTTGCAGAGCCCTGTCCCTTTCTGACTAGGTTTCTGCAACAGAGTGGGAAGGTTGATGATGTAAATGCTATGCTGTTGATTTCTTTCAACAGAGGAGAAACTGAGACCCAGGAAAGGTGTGTCGTGGCCCAGAGGTGAAGGAGCCAGCTGCCGCTGACTCACAAGGGCCTCTGTGTCCCTCCTTGGCACAGGGAATGAGGAGGCTGGCGGAGGAGTCCCTTGCAGTAGGTGCAACTAGACATGGCTGAGCCCTCCTCCCGCAGGCAACCATCACACCCTTGCATAAGGGTTGTGAGCCATATGAGCCATGTGAGACACCAGATCCTGTCACCACACTTACTCAGTAAATGTCAGCATCGTCTTCAAGCCTCTACAATTCCTGTACCCTCCTTTTTGCTCCTTAACTAATTTCTCCTCCTCTAAAATCTTCCATCTCTCAGAAACTCAGGATGTTGCAGCCTTGCTTGATGATGTCAGGTTGGAAAAAAAAAAAAGGCCTGTCCTCTGCATCTGGGGGAGGCAGGGTGGGGTCTTTCTAGCAGCCACAAGAGGCCCAGTGCTGCTGGGTACCACTGGGCTCTACTTCTGCAGTGGACTCTTCTTAAGGACCCCAATAGGGCAGGTCTGGCCCTTCCAGCAGCACCAGGAGACCTGTCCTGTCTACCTGAAACACACAGTTACACCTGTGTGTTCACAGAGAAGTGTGTTCATAGAGCAGCCTCACCAGGCACTGTGGCTTCAAGTGTCTCTGAGGGGACTAAGTCTGCAAAAGGCCCTGCTTCCTGGAACTTGGAAGCATGTCTGTATGACACAACTGTCTCTATGCTTTCCGTGGCCCATAGAGGTGCAAAGAGAGTGATACCCCTCAGCCTTCTAGGCTACTAGAGCCCCCGGAGCCAATCACCACCTTGTGACTGCAGTGTGCCTTCCACATATTTTTTCTGTGATGTGGGAAAGGTGGAGGCATACTGGCCTTGGCTCCTAACCATCTCTGCTTTGCAGAGCCCCCTGAGGAGCCGGCAAAAAGCCCAGAAACCCAGAGACCACCTCCCACCTCTCCAGGGCTTGGCCCAGGAAATCAGACTTGTAAGAAACGACCTACCCAGGGGACTTGAATGCAGCTAGTCCAGCAGGAACCAGCAGTCTTGATTTTCCAAGTCAGTGGCCCCCCACCACCACCTCTCAGGAAGTCTGTAAGAGGTGCAGGCCATTAGTGATGGTGATGTCTCTGTCACGCCACGCCAGTAGGCCCCGAATCTCATCCTGTTCTCCTCTGGTCAGAGCCGGCAACTCTGTTCCCGCAGATGGCAGGCACGTCTGTCCCTCACTCACCTGCCTTTCTCTTCCATTCTCCAGGACACACAAGACCAGCCACTGCTACCGCATCACCTACCGCCACATGGAACGGACCCTGTCCCAGAGAGAGGTCGGGCGTGTCCACCAAGCTGTGCAAGATGCTGCTGTGCAGCTGCTGGGCGTGGAGGGCAGATTTTGATGGTGCTACTTGGACCAGGCTGCAGCCTCTCAGGGCTCCAGGATTCATGAGAGAGAAAAGGATACTGTTTGTAGACTGGGGCATCAGTTATGTTTTGATAAATGGGTCAGTTTTAGGACTTACAGAAAATAAAGGATCGCTCTTGAGAAACTGTTGATGTAGCATCTGTCTTTTATTTGGGAAAAGGGGGAAAATGGAGCAATAATATAAGAGTTGCCTCCCATCCCTCCCATTCCTTTAAGAAATGCTTTGCCCGTTGGCGCTCAGTGTAGTTAATTGGTCCCTGGGTTCCATTAAAGTGTAAACACCAGGCATGATTTCTTGCCTGACAGGCTCTTCCACCCATGTAATGAGTGAAGCCACACAAAGGGACATCACAAACTCCAGACCTCAGAAGATTGTTTGAATCAGCCTCTTGCTTGCTTTCTTGTCTTCATTTTCTGCTTTGCAAAGGGCAGACTTCAAACAGGGCATTAATGAAATGCCAGGAACCCCCTCAAAAGTGAAGGCAGTCACATATCTGCGTGGAGCAGGGTATTCCTTGCTTTTCATAAACCCATGGCTCAGAGTCAGGCCCTGCCCCCAGGGCTTGGGCTTTGCTCCCTTCTGGCCCACTGGCAAGGAAAGAAAGGAGCAAGAGCTGCCCCAGAGGCTGGGAAGCACACAGGGGCCAGGTCCTTGAACCCCTGCAAGTCTGATTGCCTAATAGGAGGCCTCTGCTTCCGGAGACGACCTTTAAGGAAGAATACATGGCTTTGATCTTCCCCCCTTTCCATCCCAGGCACTTTGTAGTCTGCCTGCCTCACTCCTGACCATTTTTAATAATCAGATTCTATCCCTGGCATGATGCTGGAGGCTGATGGAGGACCACAAGGGCTGGGATAAATATTTGATGAGGGGTGGCCATTATCGGCTAGCAGCGTGGGGGCTGGGCAGCTGCTCTCCAAAGGGAAGGAATGGGCCTTAATGTCATTTTACCATGTTATTCATTTGCACTTTTCCTTTGGATTTTCAAGAGAATTAAGGGAGCAGTGCCCCAACTCCCACAACCATGCACGGCATCAAACTGCTGTCCAGGGTCCTGAGGCCCCCTGGATGCATTTCCTCAAGCAGATAGGTCTTATGTGGGAATGCACAGTATGATTAGTAATGTCTTCCTCAGGAGTGTTTGCTAGCAGACCATTTCCGACTAGCTTTAGGCTGCGTTTCCAGAGATCCATCTTCTCCCCAAGACCAGTTAGGCATTTATTAATATTCTATAACAACCCAAGTTAGGTGGGTAACACCCAGAAAATTATGGTGCCACCCATGGCTCACAACCAGAGCAAATATTTGTCCAATACTGTGCTTGTGCCAAACCTTAAACTTGGGCCCAGGGTAGGAGTGACATTCAGGAACGTTCACAGAGTGTTTTTCTGAATGTTTCCTCTCAATACTCTGTAACATATATCCATTATCTACATTTTACTAATGAGGCACCAAGGCCTAAAGATGTTGCAGGACTAGACCACGAACACCCTCACACTCAAGCCTGCCACCTCCAAATTAACACCTTCTGCCTACACAGACATTGGTTGGTGGTCGGGACTGTACCTCCCTCCTGCTCCTTGGGCCTCTCTTCTGTTCTAAGAATTCCAGCAGCATGGGCTTGTGCTGACCCCCTTGTTCTAGTTAAGTGGGCTGGCACACAGCAAAGCAGGCTCACCCCATCCAGCCCTTGACTTTGCTCATGGTTCCCACAAGACAATAAATAATGAGAAAGGAAACACTAGGAAAGGCAATATAATACAGAAGACGAACAGCACCTTGCAGTTCAAAAAAAAAAAAAAAAAAGACAATTCCATATAACATAGAGCATGGTGACTGACACCAGCACCGTCACTGTGTCCCTCTGGAATACTCAGTTCCCTCCTTCATAAAATGGGAGTAATAATACCTAAGTCAGAGGTTGGCTGTGAGGACCAAATGAGACCTCTCATGTGCTATACCTGGCATAGAACCTGGAACAAACCACAGTAAATGATACCTGCCCTGATCGTGATTCAGGTGGGAAACAGAACCGTGGAATATTACAACTGGAGCAGATCCTGGAGCAGCCACATCTCCCACCAGCTGAGTGTCTACACATGAGGATCCTGGAGTCCAGAGGGGCAAGATGGCTTCCCTGAGGGCATAACTAATTACTGTAGACCTGGGCCCAGAACCAGGCTTTCTGGAGACATTCTCCACATCACCACACTGACTCAGGCATCCTGAGTGTGTCTTTAGATGTGAGGCAGGAAGGCCCAGGCTAGGGTTGCAGCCATGTCCTGGAGCTGAGGGCCAAGTGTTCTTCAGGCTCATGCATCACTAATCCATGTGAACAGGGCTCTCAAGATGCTAGGCAGCCAGAGGTCAGTCAACGCTGGCTACTCTGAAGGTCATGGTGATAAATTCTGTGACCAACTGCAGCTCATAGGTGGGGCCCCATTACCCCTTTGTCCCCACATTTCTTTTCCCTCTTCCGGATGAGTGACACCCTGCTGAACTGATTCCCCTGTGCTGTACCCTGTGGCTTGTCATTCCTGGAATCAGCCAGTCACCTCAACACTGGCCCAGTGCTCCCAGCCATTGGCTGGTGGCTCGGCAGTCAAGAAAAAGGAAACCCTTCAACACTGGATGTTCTTTTATTTTTTTTAATTTATTTTCATGCATCAGAGGAAACAAGTGAACTCAAAGAATATATGGCAGTCTCCAAATGCCCACCCGTGGATTCTATTTACCCAGACACCCCAGTGGGCACATTGTGTACTCCATTCTCATGTTAGGAGTCCTCCAATCTTCACAGTGAACACTATCACTTAGCACTTATAGGCTATGAGCCAGGGCCATCTGCCTCCACCCAATTGCAGGTCACGTAAGTATTTGCCTGGTAGTGGGAAGGTTGCGTGACGGTGGCATTGACATGGCTAACATCGTGGTGTTCCAGGCATGGTGCTCCACCCTCATTCAGCCATTTAGAGTAGGGGCCACTGTTCTACACAACTCATGGAGCCATGGAGCCATGGAGCCATGGAAAGAGAGACCAGCCATGTCCAGCCCTCACGGAGTTTATATGCCTCCTCTTATTGAAGCCTTACAAGCCCCTGGGGCTGGTCCTATTATCTCTCATCTCCAGGTGCAAGATTAAGATGCACAGGGAGATGTTGCAAAGCCAGCAGCACTGGAGAAGGTCCTTCTGACCTCCAGGCCTGTGCTCTTAACGTTGCCTCCCACCCCTCCCTGTGCACCTGTCCAGGCACTGGGACAATAGGCAGTGCTGGGAGTTCATTCTGGACCATGGCAGAGGCGATGGGCCACCTAGAGGTGGAGACCTCGCCTGCAGGGGCTTCAAGTTTCAGGACAGTGACACCAGGCACAGACAAGCCACAGGACTTCTCAGTGAGGTTCTAGGACATCTGATGCAGGCCTGAGGGACCAGATTCTATGTCAAAACCACTAGAAGCCCCTTTTTATCCTCTGATGCTCAAAGCCTTCAATAGATTTATGTATGTTGCCATCGCTGTTTCTGGACAGCGAGTCAGATTCAAGGTCACTGTCAGAGTTGAAAAGCTCACCTCCTGAGTGACAAGGGAGAACCCCAAACTGAGCAATCTAGGACCCTGCAAAAGCAATCTGTGCTCCCAGGAGGGTGTCCCAGCACCAGGGGAGGAAGGAGATGTGGTTATTCCTGACCCCAGCAATTCCTCAAGGTCGTGTTGGCTTTGAGATTTCTGGGTGGCTTCTGTACCCAGAAATGCCTTACTGCTTTCAGAGCAATCACAAGCAAACAAATTACTGGTACCTTTTTCCTTCAATTCCTGAGCCCTGCAGCCATTCTCAGGAGAGGAGCAGTGCAGGGATGCCCCACTGGGCACAGGGCCAAGCCCGAGGCTGAGGCCGAGGTCTAAACCCAGCTCTGCTCCAAGTGGGTCGCCTAGCATCCCTAAGGCTTAATTTCCTCCACACTAAAACGAAGGTGGTAATCCCTGCATTTCTTACTGCAGACAGAGTATGAAATGAATGGCTTAGCAAACAGTAAGAAAGCCATGCATAAAACTCTCTCAAGTATTTCATGTTAGCCTCACAACAACTCCAAAAAGTAAGGGTTGAAAACATCAAGCCCAAGGCCAGGATCAGACTCCTCTAGTCAGTGGGTAATAGAACTAAAATTTAAGGCCATATCTCCATAAGACTAAAAACTCCGTGGCCTTTCTGCCATGCCAACTGTCTGCCACATGTCTGCCATGCACGGAAGAGGGACCACTGTGACAACACATTGTCCTCTGCAGCCACAGCAATAAAATGAGGAACTCCCCCTGTAGCCTTGTCTTTCAAAATGAAGGAGAGAGAGAGAGAGAGAGAGAGTTTGCCTATTGTGGACACAAGCCTCACAGAGGGCTTGGCGTTATGAATCAAACAAGAGAGGGGACGTCAGGCCACACTGAGTTAACAGCAGAAGTCAAGGAGGGCACCTGAGATTGGTTACAGAACAAGAATCGATCCAGGAAGAGAATCAGTATGCTACACTCTGAAGCAGCACTTCCCAGCCCATGTTCCCCACCACACCCTCAGCTACTGGCCGTTCCTGGACAGGAACCAGGTGCACCTGGGGCTGCATACAAGTCAGGGCCAGCTGGCCAGACAGCAAGCAGCACCTCGTCTTTCCCAGTCAAGAAGGGATTTTGAAAGACAAGTGTGTGAACTTGCCATTTCACGGGGGAAACTTTAAAGTCTATTCTTAACATCTTTTCACCTATCAAGAGTGAATTATTTGGGGCACCTGGGTGGGTGACTCAGTTGGTTAATCTTCCGACTCTTGGTTTCAGCTCAGGTCATGATCTTAGGTTTCGTGAGTTCAAGCCCCACATGGATCTCTGTGCCAAGTGTGCAAAGCCTGCCTGGGATTCTCTCTGCCCCTCCCCTCCTCACTCTCTCTGTCTCTCTGAAAACAAATAAATGTAAAAAAAGAGTGAATTATTTGAATCATCTATACTTGATTATTAATAAGAAATAACTAGGAGTGCTGAAGCAACTCCATGGAGAAAGGAAAGTCTTTTCAACAACTGGTATTGTAACTACTGGTTATTCGCTTAAGAAAAAAAGAAAAGAATCTCAACCCTACTCCACAC